CAAGAAAAGGAAATAAAAGGCATACAGACAAGGAAGGAAAAAAGTAAAACTGTCTTTGTTCACAAATCACACTACCATCTACGTAGAAAATCCAACAGAATCAACAAAATTCCTAGAAGTGACTATACTAAGGTTATGATATACAAGAATAGTAGTCAATCACATTCCATATACCAGAAATGAATAAGTGTAATTTGAAATCATGCTTTCCAGGTGGTGCAATGGTAAAGAATACATCTGCCACTGCAGCAGATGCAGCAGACACAGGTTAAATCCCTGGGTCAGAAAGATCCCCTGGAGTAGGAAATGGCAACCCATTCTAATATTCTTGCCTAGAAAATCCCATGGACAGAGGAGCCTGGTGGGCTACAGTCCAGGGGTTGCAAAGAGTCAGGCACTATATGCACACATGAATTTGAAATTTAAAACACAATACCATTTACATTGGTAATAAAATAATGTACAAGATCCATATGAGCAAAGCTAGGAAACTCCGATTAACAAAATCAAGTAAAAATTAACTAACTAAAGGGATTCCATGTCATGGGATAGAAAGACTTATATAATGTCAAGATACCAATTTTACAAACCTGATCTGTAGATTCAATATAACTGAAATCAAAATTCCAGTGTATTTTGTAGATACAAACAAACTCATTCTAAAGTTTATATGGAGAGAAGGAAATGGCAACCACTCCAGTACTCATGCCTGGGTAATTCATGGAGAGAGGAGCCTGGCGGGCTACAACAACAACAACAAAAGCAAACCACCTACTCCAACCAATGCTGCCTGCCAGCCTGGGGCATTCCATGCCCCACACCCCCACCCACCAAATTAAACATTGGACTAAAATGAAAACACTGCTTTTGCTAAGACATCAGTGAAACGATTTGGATTAAGCTGAGTGATTACGTCAGAAGGAGGGCATGGTCATCTGGAGAGCTGGCCAGTCCCAGGACATGCTCTCTGGAGTCTACTTGTCTCCCAAGAGAAACATGGTCTCAGACAAAGGCACTGATCACTGCTCTGCCTCCATCAGGTCCACACACACATATGTGTCAGCTTGAGATAAACTCATATCAAATACTTCTTTCATTCATTGAACCTGAGTATGATGGTTAATAGTCCTTGTTTGAATAAAGACTCACCCACTTAGTGGTTGGATAATCTTACAAAAGTCACTTAATTGGTCTCAGCCTATTTCTTCTTCCCTAAAATGGGAATAATCTTAAGCAGAGCTACCAGTTCTTAATGTTCAATAAATATTTATAAAGCCCCCACTATATGCCAAGTATATGGTTGAAATTTTTTTTAAGATTTTGCATGTAAAAAGAAGCTAATTCCAGTCTGGCCCAGAGTAAACCTAATTTTCACTACTAAGAATGTGTCTCTTCCACACTCCACAGGTAATGTTCATTTGTCAGCCAACAGAAAACCATCAGCAGCAAATTTTGCCCCCAGAATTGTGATATTCTGTTTAAAAAGCGTGGTCTTTTTTTTTTCCTTCTGTACTTAATAGAGCCTCATATAATATCAGAGCTGGAAAGAATCTTAAAAGTCATCCAGGCCAGCTTTCTGCCTACCTGGCCAGGTGACCCACCCTCTCTTTGGACAGCTCAGCTAGTAGACAATTCTTTCTTGAAACCAAATCATCTTCCCTGTGGTCTGTGTCCTAGTTCTCCTCTCTAAATCATCTCAGGAAGAAAGCTGCATTTTCTCGTCTCCCTTATAACAGTCCTTTTTGTGTATGTGGAGACCTCTTTCACTCCTTCGTCAGAAATAAATGTTTTAGCCAGGCTCAAATAAAAAGTAATAATAATTTCTAATTTCTAATTTCTTTTCCAAAGGAAACAGTGCCTTTATTAAGATGATGGGAATTGTCTGCCCACTTAAATCTTTACATATTTTATTAACTAATATAAATTAAGGCATTCAGAATGAAAAAAGTAAAAGTTTATACGGAAAGGGCAAAAGATCTAGAATAGTTAACAGAGTATTGAAGGAAAGGAACAAAGCAGGAGGACTGCTGCTACCTGACTTTAAAACCTACTACACATAAAGCTTCTTTACTGTCTGAGCTACTAGGTTGCACTAGTGGTAAAGAACCCACCTGTCAAGGCAGATTAGAGACCTGCATTTGATCCCTGGGTCAGGAAGATCCCCTGGAGAAAGGCATGGCAATCCACTCCAGTATTCCTGCCTGGAGAATCCCATGGACAGGGGAGCCTGGTGGGCTACAGTCCATGGGATCACAAAGTGTCAGACACAACTGAGTGACTAATACACATTCATAGTTGAGGCAGGAGATAGATGGGCCCCAGGTCAGCTATCTACAACTGGCCTCCAGTTCATACCTCCTAGGGTCGGTCATTCATTACCAGCCCCTGTTTACATTTCCTGAAATAAGAGACATATGGGCTCCAGGACTACATATTTATGACTGGACTCCTGTCTATATTTCAGGATCTATACCTCAATATAAAAACCAACAAGAATAGGGTAAATAACTGGATATTGGGCAGTTTTAGGGCAGGGACAGAGTGGGACTAAAACCTGTTAAAAGATTAAGAGGTCACACACTCCCCCATCCTTAGGGCAAAGGAGACACTATGCATATGCAAAAATTCTTCATGGGGTCAAAAGGGCAGGGGACGCCCGACCAGTTAAGCCTTGCCACCCCCTTCCATAAGCCTTTTCGGTGGGATCCATCTTAACTGAAATATATGTTCACACCCAGGGGAGGGTTAGGACAGGTCAAGTGTGGAAAAAGAAACCAGATAATTGGCTAAAGAAGATTAGGAAGAAGTGTCCTATATAAATGACTTAACAGCCTCTTTTCTGTGCTCCTCAATATGGGGGATGCCCACACCCTTCTCTCCAGGTGCATCTCTGCTTTGCTTCTATCTTAACTAAACAGTTTCTCTGTATGCTCTCCCACTTGTTCTTATGCTATGTCTCTAATAATAAACTTTATACCTGCATTTACAGTTTTTGTCTCCATGATAAATGCATCTTTCACTAGGGGCAAAGATCCAGGAAAAAAAATAGCCTCTAGCCTTTGCTGGTCTGGATTCCTGGTTTTCATCCACATTGCCCAAGTTCAATTCCTGGGCAGGGAATTAAGATCTTACTTCACGTCACTGCTCACTGCTGCCTCATGGAGATCATAGTGATAACCACCTCTAGATATACCACAATGATTTAGCAAAAACAACAATTATGGTTAATTTTATAAGGCTGAGAATTATACTTTAAATCACCTAAATTCAAATGAATAGTGAAAAAATTCTGCTTTATCTTCAATGTTTTGTAATAATCTCAGCTAGTTAACATACATTTTAACAAGTTGACTGAAATACTTAAACATCTCACATGACATTAAAATGCAAAAATACAATCATTATTATTAAATAACTTCACAATTGAGTAACAAAGTCAGAAGAGAAAAAACTTCCAATAAATAATTTTTGTGATATTGTGATTTATAATAATATATATTGAATCTTGGCACCTGACACAGAGCTCCTAATAATGCTGGAATTTCCTAACAACTCCTAACAGCTCCTAACAACTGGAATTTTCTAAATGAAAAGAGCAATAAAGGTATCTTTTGTTATTCATAACAATTACCTTTTAGGCACACGAGAGATTCTATTAATGAACTTACTTTTGGAAAGCCCCTAAGGATTGGGGCTGGTTGCCAGGGGAACCAACCAAGCTGCTGGAGGATTAGAACTTTTATTCCAACTCCCTAACCTCCAGGGAAGGAAGAGCAACTGGCTGGAAGTTAGACCAATCACCAATGAACAATGATTTAATCAATCATACCAGTATAATGAAGCCTTCATAAAATACCTGAACTATAATGTTTGGTCAGTCTCCAGGTTGGTGAACATGTACAGGGACTGAGAAGGTGACATGCCTGGGTAGGTCAAAGAGGTCTCAGGTCTCCTGTATCTTGCCCTATATCTTAATCTGGCTGTTACTGATATCTTAATCTGGCTGTTACTGAGTTATAGCCTTTATAATAAAAGTGAAAGTGAAGTTGCTCAGTCATGTCTGACTCTTTGCGACCCCATGGACTGTAGCCTACCAGGCTCCTCCATCCATAGGATTTTCCAGGCAAAAATACTGGAGTGGGTTGCCATTTCCTTCTCCAGAAGATCTTACCACCGCAGGGACTGAACCCAGGTCTCCCGCATTGTAGGCAGACACTTTACAGTCTGAGCCACCGGGGAAGTCAATCTGGCTGTTACTGAGTTATATCCTTTATAATAAACCAGTCATCTAATAAGTAAATGTTTCCCTAAGTTCTGAGAGCCACTTTGGCAAATTAATTGAACACAAAAAAGGGGTCACAGGAACCTCTGATTTATAGCCAGTCAGTCAGAAGCACAGGTAACAACCTGGACTTGCAATTGTCATCTGAAAGAAGGGGAAGTCACGCAGAACTAAGCCTTTAGCTTGTGGGATCTGACAGTGGCATATTTCCGTAAACTGTAGGGCACCCAGTTTGGACAGTTTGTAGGGCAAAGAGTTGGAGAACTGCTTGGTGTAGGGGAGAAAAAAAAAAACCTTACACATCTGATGACCAGAATAAAGTGCTGAGAGTAGACACACAGAATTTTAGTGATCAAAACAGTAACACCAGTATTGGAGCCACTAAGTGATTTTCTACGTGTTATCTTCATTTCTACTTCATAAAGCAGTAGGCTTTGGTGGCTTGACTAAAGTCCACATAGTAAGCGGAAGCAGGGGTTCAAAACGAAGTGTGCCTAACTCTGAAAGGGCACATTCTTAATTTCAACATGCTGCCTTTAATAATCAATTGTATACACCCTAGGTAACTGTGATCCCCACAAATTTTAATGGAATCCAGAATTAACAAGAACCACACACATTCTTATTCAGAGAAACCTCTTCTTAATGAAGAAACTAGTGTCAATTCCATGATTGCTGAAACTTCCAAACCATTCTCAATACAAAAATGAAAACATACGTGCAATTTTTCTTTTAGCCAAACACCTTGCTCTATTTGACTGTTTTGCCTTCGTTTTCTGCAATCCATTTTCCTCCTGTGGCTCCTGTTGCAAAACAAGAAACATGATCAGGTTGATTACCATTAAAAGTAGTACTCTTTCTACCCTCCTCTACAGCTAACAGAGGCTACTAAACCTCTAAAGAATCAGTGTTTTTATAAATGTTTGTAAATGTTTTGTAACATTTTTGTAAATGTTCAAAGAAAACATCAGAAAAAGATTTTTATGGTAGAAAAAGAAAAATGTAGATTCAGAACCAATAAAAATAAAAACTGTAATATACAGATATAATTATGTCATATTCAAACTCATATAAAAACTGGTCTATCTGTAAAATACCAGCAAGTATGCACCCAAGTTCACAGAAAGCTTGATTCAATGTTTTAAAGTCAGTAATAAAGTTTAAGCCCAGTGCATACTCACTTCTTTTAAATCAGTACTTTAAAAAGCAACAGAACAACCAAGGAAAAGTATGTAACATAGTTATCAGAATAAATAAAGGGCTAATTTTCCTTATATATAAAGAGCTCTTACAAATCAATACAAAGCATCCTCCCATAGGCAAAAAATACTTCACAGAAAAACATACACAAAGAGCTTGTATGTATATGGAAATGCAATTCACAATTATATAGGTATCTTTTTTTAATCTATACCAATGGTAAAAATGAAAATTTTCATAAAATATTTATTGTGAGGAAACAAGTACCAAAGATTGGATAAAATGGATGCAAATCACTATTTTGTTCACCTGGAACTAATATAGTGTTGTGGGTAAATTATACTTCAATTACTCTCTGTGTGTGTGTGTGTGTGTGTGTGTGTGTGTGTGTTGGGAGAAAATGAATCAAAATGCTAATGGAGGTTATCTCTACAGGGTGGGAATTGTGGGTGGTTATCATTTTTTAGTTTCGGCTTTTATATGTTTCAAACAATCAACAGGTATTGCTTGTAAAATTAAGATAAAAACAATAAATATCATTAAAAATGAAAAAAAAAAAGAATACAGGCAAAGGTGATCCCATAAATGCATAACTGGGATCTCTGAAGAAGAAAACAAACAATGAAACAAACTAACATTAAGATTATAATATATAAAATTTACCAGGGAAAAAAGGCAGAGATGGTTCGATGGCATCACGGACTCAATGGACATGAGAGTTTGAGCAAGCTCCGGGAGTTGGTGATGGAGAGGGAAGCTTGGCGAGCTACAATCCATGGGGTCTCAAAGAGTCAGACATGACGGAGCAATTGAACTGAACTGACATATTGAAAGTTCACTCTGACCAATCAGTTTCCTAACACATACACATAATATACCTATCTCACCCTAAAGAAAAATTCTTAGCATTCAGATTAACAAAAAAGACTAGTCACTTACCAAAAAAAAGGAAAATAAACCAGACTTATCAAACATAACATACAAAGCAAAAATCAAGAAGGCAGCATTTTAAAGAAACTCAAGGGGAAAGAGAAAATTTTAAACCAAGGATGTTGGACCCCATCAAGCAGTCTTTCAGATAACAAGACTATAGAAAAACAGTATCAAAAACTTAACAACTTAGGAAATAATACAGTCACAAGGCCTACTTGACAAATCTAGTAAAAATCAAGCACTATTCAACCAAAAAATGATTAGAAAAATCTGGCAAAAGAATTGATAGTAGTAGTTAACATATTTAATTTTAGAACTAAGACTAAAACCGAAGTAGAGATAAGAACAGAAGAAAATGTGTAAATATTATATGCAGAAACGACACAACTAATATATGAGAGAAATCAGAAATGGAAAGTAAATTAACTTCATTTTCTATTGCATGCACTGTAAGTGAAAGTCAAAGGATACTATTTATAACTGACAAACCAAACTACAGAAAGCTAAATTAAAAAAAAAAAAAAAGGAAGGAACTATGAAAAGCATTTATATAAACTCTAAGATATACCAAAATATATGCCAAAAGCAGAGTCAAAAATCAAAGAATATAGAAAAAGAAATAAAATTAATATAACAAAAAATTAAACTCAATGCTATATATATATTTAAGAGACTGGGTTATAACAAAGTGATCCAGAATGGCTGAAAATGAAAGGTCTAGAAGATAACACTTAGCTGTGTCTGACCCTTTGTGACCCTGTGGACTGTAGCCAGCCAGGCTCTCCTGTCCATGAGATTTTCCAGGCAAGAATACTGGAGTGGGTTGCCATTTCCTCCTCCAGGAGATGTTCCCAACCCAGGAATCTACCCTGCATCTCCTGCACTGGACTCTTTACCACTGAGCCACCTCTCCATACATCCTCCCAGAAAAACCACAAAACCAATAGGGCTTCCCAGGCGGCACTAGTGGTAAAGAACCTGCCTGCCAATGCAGGAGTTGTAGGAGACCTGGGTTCCATCCCTGGGTCAGGAAGATTCCCTGGAGGAGGAAATGGCAACCCACTCCAGTACTCTTGCCTGGAGAATCCCATGGACGGAGGAGCCTGATGCACTACAATCCATGGGGTTACAAAGACCTGGACATGACTGAAGCGACTTAGCATGCAATAAGAACCAGAAACAACACCACCTATGACCAACACCTTCAACATTATTAGGAGACAAAACATACCACAGAATTCAAATAACCAGTGAGCAGAGAAATAGCCAATTCTAACAGAGTTCCCAGTGCTACTGCAAATCTATGAGTAAACAGAACAAAGAAAGAGAAGACTTAAGAGACTATATGAAAAATAAGAAAAAGAGATGAAAAACTTAAGAACACAGACAAAACCACCTTCAAAATCAAAATGTCTGACACTAAGACAAAACACTGGTCCAAGAGGTGGTATTTCACATAATCAGCTACATTTTAAAGGGCTTGAAAGTGAAAGGAACAAAAGTGGCAACCTCAAAGACATACTACCAATGGAAAAGAGGGAGATACACAAAGAAGAAATGGTATTCCTCAGATTTCATAAAAGAAAGGAGGAAAGAAATGACAGGTCCTGAAGAAAAAAAATAAACATGCCAACCTCTCTTCTAATATCAACAATACCATCCATAAAAGAAACTAAAATGAAGTACACTGAAAAGACAAAAGGGAAGCTTTTATCCAGTAAATACAAGAATAAAAAAAAAATTTCAAACCAAGCCAACTATAAAATGGAAAGAGAAAATATAAATATAAACATTTAAGTTTATGAATATTCTCCTCTAATCACCAACCCAGAAAAGGAAATTAACACATCCCCAAAAAATTTTAAAGAATCATCTACAGATTAAGAAAAGCCTAGAATCAGAAAACTCAAACCATAAACCAACAAAAAAAGGAACAAATAAATTGAAACTTCATAAAACCCAAACTGAACACAGATAAAACCATATCAAAAAAGAAAACTGGGGACTTCCCAGTGGTCCAAGAGCTAAGACTCTTAGCTCCCAATGCAGGGGGTTCAGGTTCGATCCCTGGTAGAGGAACTAGATCCTACATGCCCCAACTGAGAATCTGCATGCTGCCGCTGATCTGGAATGCTCCACACTGTTCTCCATAGTAGCTGTATCCATTTACATTCCCACCAACAATGCAAGAGGGTTGCATTTAAAAAAAAAAAAAAGGGGTCTCCAAAGGAAAACAGATTCAAGTAAAAATCTGAAAGAGCCACTAAAGAAATACAAGAAAACAATGAGAAAATGAAAGGAATAACCTACAAGATACACTGTTCTGAGAAAAGAACAAGATGCAAATAGATATGCAACATTTTACATAAAAAGGAGAATTAAGAAAACATGAATGGGGACTTCCCTGGAGTCCAGTGGCTAAGACCTGCGCTCCCAGTACAGGGGGCCTGGGTCTCATCCCTGATCAGGGAACTAGATCCCTCAAGTCACAATAAAGATCGAAAATCCCATGTGCCACAACTAAGATGCAGTACTGCCAAATAAAGAAATATTTAAAGAGAGAGGGGAAAAACATGAATGGGCTTATTTTTGATTTAAAGCAATGTTGAAACAAAAAAAAAATTAATGAAATTGGTTATCAATGGAGTGAAGGATGTGGAATAGGGTGTATAGAATGGAGAAGCAAGGTAACTTGAATATATCTTTCTCTGTAGATTTAACTTATTCAATAAAGCAATTTTCTACATAGTGCAAAAATAAAATTAGATCAACAAGAATGGGAAGAAAACAAAGAACCAATGCAAAAACAATCAGTTGGATGGTACCTTTTAAAGTACCTCAGTGACTTTATTACATATAAATAATCTAACCACATCAATTTAAAAAAGAGATTCTCAGACAGTATAAAATTAGAAACCTCAAACCATATGCTACCTGCAAGAAATCCAAATAAAATATAAACAAATACCTAGGTTAAAATACCAACAAATGGTGCTGGAAAAACTGGATATTCACAAGCAAAAAAGAAGACAGATCCCTACCTTAGACCATACACGAAAGCTAATAACACAAAATCGATCAAAGACCTAAATATAACACTTAAAATTTTTAAACTCTTAGAAGAAAACATGGGGAAGGAAATGAGAACCCACTCCAGTATTCTTGCCTGAAAAATTCAACGGACAGCAGAGCCTGGCATGGAGTCACAAAGAGCTGGACATGACCGAGCACACACAGAAGAAAACACAGGGGAAAAGCTTCATGACATGGAAGATTTGGCAATGACTTTTTGGATATGACACCAAAGCACAAGCAGTAATACAAAAACCAGGTAAACTGGACTAAATTTAAAACCACTCTGCATAAAAAGACTATCAACAGAGTACAAAGGCAACCTATGGAATGGGAGAAAATATGCACAAATCATATATTTGACAAGGGGCTAACTGTCCACAATCTATAAAGAACCCCTACAATTCAACGGGCATTTCTGTAGTGTAGCGGTTATCACATTCACCTCATACACAAAAGGTCTCCGGTTCAAAAACAGGCAGAAACATGTTTAGGGCTTCTCTGATAGCTCAGTTGGTAAAGAACCTGCTTGAAATGTGGGAGACTTGGGTTCGGGAGATCTCCAGGCTACCCACTCTGGTATTCTGGCCTGGAGAAATCCATGGACTGTAGAGTCAATGGGGTCGAAAAGAGTTGGACACGACTGAGCAACTTTCACCATTCAACAATATATATGTGAATATGTACAACCTAAAAATGGTTAAAATCCTAAATTATGTTATGTACATTTTACCACTACACACACACACACACACACACACACACACCATCTCATACCATACACAAAAATTATTTCAAAATGGAACAAAGACCAAACTGTAAGAGCTAAAATTAGAACCCTTAGGGATCAATTTCATGACTTTAGATTTGGTAATAATTTTTTTTTTTTTTTAGATTTGGTAATAATTCTTTAGATACAACACCAAAATCATTAAATAACCAAAGGGAAAAAAACAGGTAACTTGGACTTCTTCAAAATTTAAAACAGTTGTGCATCAAACATTATCAAGAAAGTGAAAAGACATCTCCTAGAATGGAAGAATATATTTGCAAATAATGCATCTGATAAGAGGTTTAATATGCAAAATACAAAAAGAAAACTTACCACTCAACAACAAAAAGAAAAACTGCAATGTATAAATGTACAGAGAACTTGAACAGACATTTCTTTTTTTTTTTTCATTTATTTTTATTAGTTGGAGGCTAATTACTTTACAATACTGTAGTGGTTTTTGTCATACATTGACATGAATTAGCCATGGATTTACATGAACAGACATTTCTTCAAAGAAGCTATACAGATGGCTAACAAGTACAAAAAAGATGCTCAAGTTCATTAGCCATTAGGGAAATGCAAGTCAAAACCACAATGAGAAACCACTACACACCCACTAGGGTGATATAAAAATTAAACATTTAAAAATAGCAAGTGTTAGCAAGAATGTAGAGAAACTGGAATCCCAGTATATAACTGATGGGAATGTAAAATGATGCAGTCACTGTAGGGGGAAAAAGGCATGAAGAGGACTTCCCTGGTAGTCCAGAGGTTGAGAATCTGCCTGCTATCACAAGGGACACAGGTTCAATCCTTGATCTGGGAAGATTTCACATGCAGTAGGGCAACTAAGCCCCTGCCCCACAACTACTGAGCCTGAACTCCCTAAAGCCTGTGCTCTGCAACAAGAGAAGGTACCATAATGAGAAGCCCATCACCACAACTAGAAAGTAGCCCCTGCTCACCTCAACTAGAGAAAGCCCGTGTACAGCAACAAAGACCCAGCTCAGCCAAAAATAAATAAATACATAAAAATTTTGTAAAAGGAATTAAGTACTGTTATATGCTACAATATGAATGAACCTTGAAAACATATGTCAAGTGAAAGTAAAGTCGCTCAGTCGTGTCCAACTCTTTGCGACCCCATGGACTATACCAGGATCCTCAGTCCATGGGATCTTCCAGGCAAGAATACTGGAGTGGGTTGCCATTTCCTTTTTCAAGTGAAAGAAGTCAGTCACAAAAGCAACTCAATTTAAAAGGAAGAGTCAGAGACAATTCTGAGCTTTATAACCTGAGGCAAATGAGTGGTTCTACCAGCAAATGAAACAGTAGATAAAGAAGAGTAAGAGGTAAACTTAGATGAAAAAAGTGACTTACTTTACTGCCTTACTGGATGTGACCTACAAACAGGCAAAAATCTCCAATAAACAAATGGAAACACAGATCAAGGGAAAGATTTAAAATATATTACAGCTCTGTCCAACAAAGCTTTCAATAATGAAGGGAAATATTCTATACTTGCACTAACACAGCAGACACTAGATGTGACTAGTCCAAGAGAGGAGCTGACTTTTCCTTTTATTTAATTTTAATTAATTTAAATTTAAATAGCTACAGGTGGCTAGTTGCTACCACATTGGACAGAGTATATCTAGAGACTTAAAAAGCTGTCTTTCTCTCACTTTACAGACATATGAAAATTTTCATATTTGATGTATTCAAATGGTTTTAAAATATCACCTTCAGTTAATACATTATAAAACTGAGGAGCTATGATCCATCCTCAACCAAACTGTGTGACTACTTTCTTCTAAGTAATTCTTAATTCCATTTACAAAGCTGAGTAAAAACCGCATGGTATGGCAAGATGTCATTAAAGTTCAGTCTCACAAACCAACCAGTCACAGATAAGGAGGCCCAGTTTGAGACCTAGAGCTCTACTCTTTAGAATACTGACCTCTCCATCACTATCAGATATCACAATGTATGCATCCTCAAGTCTACGCTTCTTCTTCACATTGACAGAACTGGTAGTTTCTACATCTTTCTTCTCCAGGTTCTGAGCTTCAGAGGCTTCTTTAACTTTTTTCTTTCTCCGCGGCATCCTTTTGTCTGAAATAGAAGGAAAAAAAAATTGGAGAAGGAAATGGCAACCCACTGCAGTATTCTTGCCTACAGAATCCCACGGCCAGAGGAGCCCAGTGGGCTGCTGTCCACAGGGCTGCACAGAGTCGGACACAACTGAAGCAACTTAGCAGCAGCAGCAGCAGAAGGAAAAATAATTTACTTAATATATAAGTTTTCTAGATGCTATTAACATTTGGTCATATAAAAGATACCTATCTAACAGAAGTAAAATTGGATTTCTGAACTCTTTTACTAATTAAAATTTGTATTTTTTCTATAAAGGAAAAAATACATATATAAATTTCATTCTTTTAGTGACATTTCAGTAGGAATAATATAATAATTTATCATAGTTCCTTAAACATTAACTTAAATAACTGGCTCTCTGACTGCATATTATTATTCATCTAAAAGCTTTTTTCTTTAATATCAATGCATCAACCCAAAAAAGGACATCTTTTTAAAAAAATCCACTGCAAATAATCATACTTAAAGGTAAAAGACTGAATGCTTTCCTCTTAGGATAGGAATAAAACAAGCATGTCTGCATTCATCATTTCTACTGAACATTATACCACAGGTTCTAAACAGGTAGATTATGGAATAAGAAGAAATAAAAAACCCAAAAAAGGACATCTTTTTTAAAAAATCCACTGCAAATAATCATACTTAAAGGTAAAAGACTGAATGCTTTCCTCTTAGGATAGGAATAAAACAAGCATGTCTGCATTCATCATTTCTACTGAACATTATACCACAGGTTCTAAACAGGTAGATTATGGAATAAGAAGAAATAAAAAATCCAAATGGAAAAGGAAGAAGTAAAACTATTGCCTTTTGTAGATGACATGATCTTCAATTAAAAAAAAAAAAAACCTAAGAAATCCACTAAAAAACCATCACAACTAATGAACAAGTTCAGTAAGATTGTTGGACACAAGGTCAATATACAGAAATCAACTGAACAGCTATCTATAAGCAATAAATAATCCAAAAATTTAATTTTCAAATTCCATTTTAATAGCATCAAAAATAAAAAAATTCTTAACAAAATTTAACAAAAGTGTAAAGCTTGCAACGAAAAACTATAAAATATTTCTGGAAGATATAGAAGATAAGTGCAAAGACATCCCATGTTCATGAATTAGAAGACTTGATACTGTTAAGACAGCAATATTCCCCAAATTGCTCTACAGATACAACATAATTCCTAATAAAATTCCTACTAGCTTTTTAGTTGACATAGACAAGTTGATCCTAAAATTCACAGAGGAAAGGCAAAACAGAGGAAAAACAGAGGTCCCAGAACAGCCAAAACAATCTTGAAAAAAAGGAACAAAGCTGAAGGACTCACACATCTCAATTTCGAAACTTACTACAGAGCTGTATTATCAAGATGGTGTGGCACTGGCACAAGAATAAAAATAAAGATCAATGGAACAAAAGACCAGGGAGTTCAGAAAACATCCACACATTTACTGTCAATTGCTTTCAACAAAAGTACCAAGATAATTCAATGGACAAAGTATAAGTCTTTCCAATAAATGGTACTCTGACAACTAGATATCCAAATGCAAAAAGAATGAAATTGGACCTCTGCCTCACATAATAAAGAATTGCATGAAACAGATCAAAGACCTGAATGAAAGAACAAAATCTATAAAATTCTAAGGCAAAACATAAGCATAAAGCTTTGTAATCTTGGATAGGTGAGTTTGTTAAATATGTTATCAAAAGCATAAGCAATGAAAGAAAAAATAAATAAACAGGGCTTCATCTTATTAAAAACCTCTGTGCTCCAAACCACAATATTAAGACAAGTTTAAAAAAAAATAAAGAATGAGAAAAATATCTTTAAAGTATCTATATAATAAAGAAATTGTATACAGAATAAAGAACTCTTGCAACTCAATAGCAAAAAGGTCTCCATCCATATCTTGGGTTTTTATTAATAATGCTGCAATTAACACTGGTATGCATATATCTTTTCAAATCAGTGTTTTGTTTTCTTTGGGTAAATACTCAGAGGTAAAACTGCTGACTCATACAGCAGTTCTGTTTTTTTTTATTTCAATTGTATACTTTAAGTGGATGGATTATATGGTAAGTGAATTATATCTCGATCAAGTTGCATTTTTTTTCCTTAGAGAAAACAGCAAATGTTGGCAAGAATGCAGAGAAATTAAAACTTTCATTCATTCATAGTGTGAATATAAAATTCTGCAGCTGCTGTGGAAAACAGCTTGGCAATTCTTCAAAAAATTAAAATACATCTAGTAATTCAACTCCCAAGTAAACATCCAAGAAAGTTAAAAACAAGTATTCAAACAAAGACTTGCACTTAAATGTTCTTAACATCATTAATCGTAATAGCCAAAAACAGAAATAATCCAAATGATGAACGGATACACAAAATGTGGTACATCCATCCATACAATGGAATGTTGGTCAGCCTTAAAAAGAAACAAAGTACTAATACATGCTACAAAATGGATAAACCTGGAAAACACATTAAGTGAAAGCATCCAGACACAAAAGCCTACAAACTGTATGATTCTGTCTGTATGAAACATCCTAAATGGACTAATCTACAGAGACAGAAAGCAGATTAAGAAAACTAGAGGTTTGAGGAGAGAGAAATACAGAGTAACTACTTAATGGCCTTGGGTTTCTTTTTGGGGTGATGAAAATGTTTAGAATTAGAAAGCGGACTTCCCTGATGGTCCAGAGAATCCGCCTGCCAATGCAGGGGACACAGTTTCAATCCCTGGCCTGGGAAGATTCCACACATACTGGGGCAACTAGGCCTGTGCACCGCAACTACTGAGCCAGTGCTCTAGAGCCTGCAAGCCACAACTACTGAGCCCACGCACCTAGAGCATGTGCTCTACTGCAAAAGAAGCCACAACAATGAGAAGACCACGCACCACAATGAAGAATAACCCCTGCTCGCCACGACTAGAGAAAGCCCACACACAGCAACAAAGACCTAGCAAAGCCAAAAATAATAAATAAATCTAAAAAAAAGGAACATAGTGGTAGTTGCACAACATTTTGAATGTACAAAAAGCCATTAAATTATACACTTTAAAAAGATGACTGCTGGATTTTACATTCTACGAAATCTACCTAAATTAAAAAAAAAAAAAACTTCCCAGATGATTTTCTAGTATAACCAAAGCAGAGACTCACTGACTGAAATACTGATTTAAAAAGAATGTTAACTGTGTTACAAACTTCTCAAATTGTTTAATCATTCAATTACTCCTAAGAGAAACGTTACACCTCATTGTCAAAAAACATCTGGACAACCTGAGTAGTAAGGGAGGACAGTAAGAAAGGACACACTCAAACTCTTCCAATCTAGTCACTCACAATATCATTCCCTATCGTAAGAATAGAAGCTAAACACAAATTTCTTTTCTATTCTTAATGTTTATTTTTAAATGACTTAAGTCTTGAAGAAATAGAAGAAATCACACAAAATGATGAAAATATTAAACTACACATAAATTTTTTACTGTAGTATAGATGATCTACAATACCGTGTTAGTTCTAGGCATACAGCAAAGTGATTCAGTTATTTTTTCAGATTATTTTCCCTTACAGGTTATTACAAGATATCAAATATTATTGTTACCTGTGATATACAGTAAATCCTTGCTGCTTCTCTATTTTATGTATAGCAGTTTATATCTGTTAATCCCTTACCCCTAATTTATCCTTTCCCCTTTGGTAACCATAAGTTTGTTTACTATGTCTGTGAGTCTGTTTCTGTTTTATATATAGATTCATTTGTATTATTTTCTAGACTCCACATATGTGTTATTATATAATATTTTGCCTTTATCTGACTTTACTTAGTATGATAATCTCTAAGTCCATTCATGTTGCTGAAAATGGCATTATTTCATTTATTCTTATGGACAATACTCCATTTCATTTATACACAGATACACACACACACACACACGTGCATGCACACCCCCTCCCCCAGCTCCCACTCCTCCACCAGCACATCTTCTTAAACCTACCAACCAGATTGGCACCTGGGTTGTTTCCATGTCTTGGCCATTGTAAATAGTGCTGAACACTAGGGTATCTGTATCTTCTCAAATTAAAAGTTTTCATCTTTTCTGGATATATGCCTAAGAGTGGGGTTACTGGATCATATGGCAGCCCTACTTTTATTTAAGGAACTTCCATACTGTTTTCCACAGTGGCTGCACCAATTTACACTCCCAACAACAGTGTAGGAGGGTTCCCTTTTCTCCACACCCTCTCCAGCATTTGTTATGTGTAGGCTTTTCGCTAGTCATTCTGACCAGTATGAAGTAATACCTCATCGTGGTTCTGATTTACATTTCTCTAATAATTTAAACTACATATAAACTCCTTTTTTCCATAAGGGAAACTAGAAAGTATTTTAATAAAATGAAAACAAAAACACGAAAACAAAATCTGTGGGATGCAGCTAAGGAGTTCTTATAGAAAAGCTGATGGCATTAAATGCTTATATTTTTTAAAAAAAAACTAAATATCTCAAATCAGTGACCTGACCTTATACTTTAAGGAAACTAGAAAAAGAAAAGCCAGTCCATCAAAAGCAGAAGAATAATAAAGAACACGAAGAAACTGAAAACAAAAATGACAGAGAAAATCTATAAAGCCAAAAGCTGATTTTTAGAAGAGATTAATAAAACTGAAAAGACTCTAACCAATCTCCGAAAGTGAAAGAGAGAAGATATAAATTACCAATATAAGGTAATTAAAGGATTAAGCATAAGGATTTTTAAAAGTTTCATCACTACAGATCATATGGATATTAAAAGGATAATAAAGGGAGATAACAAATAATTTTTGTCCTTAAACTCGACAACTGAAATGGAACAATTCCTTGAAAGCACAAACTCCCAAAGCTCCATCAAGACACATTTAACCAAAAGAGATAGGATTAGGTATCTCTATTATGTCTTTGATTTGTAGTAAGATACTACTTTCCAGGGTGACGTTCAAAGCACTTGTTAGGTACTTACTGAACTCCTCAAAGAACATTCCATTCCCCTTCTTCATATTTCCCATAGTTCTCTGAGTACTCCTTTTGAATGCAGTGATTGGTCAAGTGGCTGGTTTTATCTTGGAAATTATCCACCTAATACAGTTCTGAAGCAGTCTGCAGAACACCCTCTCTATAGAGGTAGATATTAAACTGATGGTCCACCAAGACACAGCTTCGTATGTCTAACTTGCAATGACCAGGCTCTAGGAACAGATCCAGGAACTCCATGTATTTCTGGATCATGTGCACCTGGCCTTGATTGTCTATGAAATCCAACAGTTCTGTAGCCGCTAAGGAGATGAGGATGCCTTCACCTTTGGCTCTGGCGAATAACTTTGTGATCCAAGCATTACCCTCTCCCTCCTCTTTCTTTCTGTTATATGAAGTCAGGAAAAATTCTCTGTTGTCTGTGCGTGAACTATGGAGCGGTGAATGGATTCCACTCTGAGCTGGAGCAACTGGGGTCCTGAGGTTGGTTGGATAAATCAGGTAGGATTCAGGGAACCATGTGCAGGACTCAGCCTGTTCTGGGCTAGTTTTGATGAGCTTCACTAAAGATGCTTTGTGACACAGTTTGTCAGCCCCTCTGTAATAATTCATCAACTGTATCACCCCAGGCTCACGATCCAGTCTCCCGAAGGGCAGCCGGTTCCTTTCTCCCAGCATCAGGTTGAACCTGGGGTTGCCCCGCCGCAGCCGCTTCCAGTGGCCGGTGGCGAGCAGCAGCCGGAACACCTCGTTGGCATAGACGCTGCTGTTCTCATCACACACCACTAAGGTGTACATGGCGAAAGGCCGGGCGCCCGGCACCCCCCCCCTCACCCCAGCAGCTGCCTCAGGGACCAGCCAGCCAGGCAATGGCTCAGCTAGGGACCAGCCCAGGCGCCTGCCACCTAAACTTTTGAGTCTATATATATTTAAATACATAGACTTACAACAAAATTAGAGAAATATTTATAGCATACATGAAAAAAGCTATTGATTATATTTAAAAAATACAAACTGACACAAAATATTAACATCCTATTAGATAACGAGACATCAACTGTCAATTTGAAAGGAAAAAAATACATCAAACATGAATATGTGGAAAGATTTAACCTATAACACTATTAGACAAATTTTTAGACAAATTGGACATATTTTTACTTCCTAAAGGGGAAATAAGATGGGGAGACAGTGGAAACAGTGTCAGACTTTATTTTTTGGGCTCCAAAATCACTGCAGATGGTGACTGCAGCCATGAAATTAAAAGACGCCTACTCCTTGGAAGGAAAGTTATGACCAACCTAGATAGCATATTAAAAAGCAGAGACATTACTTTGCCAACAAAGGTCCATCTAGTAAAGGCTATGGTTTTTCCAGTGGTCATGTATGGATATGAGAGTTGGACTGTGAAGAAAGCTGAGCGCCGAAAAATTGATGCTTTTGAACTGTGGTGTTGGAAAAGACTCTGTCCCTTGGACTGCAAGGAGATCCAACCAAGTCCATCCTAAAGGAGATCAGTCCTGGGTGTTCACTGGAAGGACTGATGCTGAAGCTGAAACTCCAGTACTTTGGCCACCTCATGTGAAGAGTTGACTCATTGGAAAAGACCCTGATGCTGGGAGGGATTGGGGGCAGGAGGAGGAGGGGACGACAGAGGATGAGATGGCTGGATGGCATCACCGACTCGATGGGCATGAGTTTGAATCAACTCTGGGAGTTGGTGATGGACAGGGAGGCCTGGCGTGCTGCGATTCATGGGGTCGCAAAGAGTTGGACACGAATGAGCAACTGAACTGAACTGAAAGTAAAATGGATTAATTTTAATTAACTTTAATGATAATCCTGCAGTTGTGGGAGCAATTCTTCAAACACCAAACTGTAACAGATATTTTAAAAAACACACACAACACAAAACTTTGTATAAACGGTGCCATACTCTAATACAAATTACTAAAATCACTAAAGTTTTCAGTTTTAACCACTCGCTCTATCCCTCCTTTTAGACTTAGGTCTGTTACTGCCATAATGAAAATTACCCAAAGAAAAACAAAACAAATCTCTTTGGAGACCAAGAAAGAAACAGCTAAGACATCTGAGGGGAAAGTATGATGGAATTTGGCAAATTAAAGACATAAATCTTAGATAAATACTTAAAGAACTGCTGGCTAAGGGGTCTTAACCTGTCAATCCACAAGCCCTCAAAGGACCTATGGTTAGGCTTCAAGGGATTCACAATCTCCCGAAACTGTGTACAAAACTTGTTTTTGTATGCACCCTGGGAAAAATTCTTTTTTTTTGGGCGGGTGGGTGGGGGGAATTCTTATAGCTTTCATCCAACTCTTGGAGGAGTTCAAAATCCAAAAGAGTTTAGAACTACCAATGATCTAGCTAAACCCCTTCATTTTCAGAAACAACCCGAAGATTTAAATTGACATGCATAACCAGTCTCCTACTGTTTTTGTGTTTAAGAATTATGACTATTTCACCTTTTTACATTTTGGGGTTTTTTTGTTTGTGCATGCCTTCTAACACTTAAAGGTAAAATTTCTGTGACCTGAGTAACAAAGATTTCTCAGGATACAAAGAGTAAAAGATACAGAATTTTTAAAAAACCAACAAACTAGGCTTCAGTGAAACTTAAAACTTATGTTCTTCAAAAGACACCAATAAGAAAACAAAAAGACAAGTCATAAAATGGGAGAAAATATTTGCAATGCATATATCTTGCAAAAGACTCATAGTCACAATATATAAAGAACTCTTATGGTGGTGATGGTTTAGTTGCTAAGTCATATCCAACCTTGCAACCCCATTAACTATAGCTCACCAGGCTCCTCTGTCCATGGTATTTTCCAGGCAAGAATACTGGAGTGGGTAGCCATTTCCTTCTCCAGGATATTTTCTCAACCCAGGGATTAAATCTAGGTCTCCTGCACTGCAGGTGGATTCTTAACCAAATGGAGCCACCAGGGAAGCCCAAATAACTCTCATAATGCAATAATAAAATGACAAACCAATTTTTTAAATGAGCAAGCTATGGACACAAAAGCAAATGTACTAATAGCCAATAGGCAAAACAAACAGAAAAAGATGTTCCGCATCATTAGTTATCAAAATAGAAATTAAATCCACAATGACATAACATTACACATCCATTATAATGGTTACAATTAAAAATACTGAAAACACTAATGTGGGTAGGAATGAGGAATACATGGATCTCTCATACACTGCCAATGGAAATATAAAATGTTATAAGCCACTACAGAAAACTGTCTGGCAGTTTCTTAAAATTAAATGTATACTACTATACAAGCCAGTCATTCTGCTTACTACTATTTACTCAATAGAAACAAAACCCTATCACCACATAAAGACTTCTACAGTAATATTCACAGAAGCTTTTCACACAATGTCAAGCACTAAGAAGTGAAGTTGCTCAGTCATGTGCAACTCTTTGCGATTCCATGGACTGCAGCTCCTCCATCCATGGAATTTTCCAGGCAAGAGTACAGGAGTGGGTTGCCATTTCCTTCTCCAGGGGATCTTCCCAACCCGGGAACCGAACCCAGGTCTCCCACGTTGCAGGCAGACACTTTACCTTCTGAGCCACCAGGGAAGCCCATGAGATGACCCAAATGTCCATCAACAGATGAATAAACAAATCGTGATTTATTCATACAACAGATTATTACTCAGCAATAAAAAGGACACAGGCAAAAATACGAGTGAACCTCAAAATCATTTTGCTGAATGAAAAATTTCCCTGGTGGTCCAGTGGTTAAGACTCCATGCTCCCAAAGGAGGGGACCCATGTTCAGTCCCTGGTCAGAGAACTAGATCCCACATCCTGCAACTAAATTCAAACACAGCAAGTAAGACCCAGCACAGCCAAAGAAAAAAGCCAGTCACAAAGAGTACAGGTCGTATTATTCCATTTATATAAAATGTAACCTAACCTATAGTGACAAAAAGTAAATCAGTGGTTACTAATGTTCAGGAGTGTAAGAAGAGGAGGACAGAAGAGAGCATGAGGAAGCTTTTGAGGGTGATGGGAACCCACTGTATCATGATTTTGGCAGCAGTATCACAAGTGTATACAACTGGAAAATTTCATCAAACTATATGCTTCAAATAGATGCAGTTTATTACATATAAATCATTTTGCAATAAAATTGATAAGGAAAAAAATAAAATGAGATACCACGACATATCTACTAGCATGGCTAAAATTTAAAATAAAAAAATCAGGCATTGATAAGAATACAGGAACAGCTAGAACTCTAATACACTGCTGGTAGGAATATAAAGCTACTTTGAAAAGACAGTTCGGCAGTTTTGTAAAAAGTAAAACATACACCTACTACGTGACCTAGCCATTTAAACTATTTACCCAAAAGAAATAAAGTCACATTCATAGTAGCCCTATTCATAATAGATGAAATCTCTAGACAGCCCAAATATCCACCAATAGGGGAATGGATAAACAAATTGTGGTCTATCCATACCACAGAAAACTACTTCACCAATTAAACTACATAGAACATTATGGTGAACAAAGGAAGCAAGACACAAATAAGTAAATACTATATGATTCCATTTACAGGCATACTTCATTTTTTGCACTTTGCAGATACTGCATTTTTTACAAACTGAATATCTGTAGCAATCGCGTGTGAAGCAAGTCTCCCAACAGCATTTCCTCACTTTGTATCTCTGTGTCACATTTTGGTAATTCTTGCAACATTTCAAACTTTTTCATTATATTTATCAAGGTGACCCACTTTCAATGATTTTTTTCATTTTTTTCTTTTTTTTGATTAGTGATTTCTTTTATGTTACTACTATAACTCAATGAAGATTCAGATGACAGCAATTTTTAGCAAGTTTTTTTTTTCATTTTCATTATAGTCAATTTATAAATTTTGTGTTATTAATAGTTTCAAGTGTACAGCAAAATGAATCAGTTATACATATATCCACTCTTTAGATTCTTTTTCCATATAGGCCGCTACAGAGTATTGGGTAGAGTTCCCCATTAATTAAATATATACATTGTATGGATGTGAGAGTTGGACCATAAAGAAGGCTGAGCGCCAAAGAAATTTTGAACTGTGGTGCTAGAGAAGACTCTTGAGAGTTCCTTGGACAGCAAGGAGATCAAACCAATCAATCCTAAAGGAAGTCAACCCATAATATTGATTGGAAGGACTGATACTGAAGCTGAAGCTCCAATACTCTGGCCACCTGATACAAAGAGCTGACTCACTGGAAAAGACCCTGTGCTGGGAAAGATTGAGGGCAGAAAGAGAAGGGGACAACAGAGGATGAGATGGTTGGATGGCATCACCAATTGGATCCAATGGACATGAGCTTGAGCAAACTCCAGATGATAGTGAAGGACAGGGAAGCCTAGTGTGCTGCAGTCCATGGGGTCGCAAAGAGTCAGACACGACTAAGCAATTGAACAACAACAAAATTATTTCTTTAGACCCTGCAAGCTTAACAGACTACAGTAGAGTGTAAACATAACTTTTATATGCACTGGGGGAAAAAAAAAGCATGTGACTCACTTTATTTTGATTTACTGCAGTGGTCTGGAACTGAACCACAGTATTTAAGGGATGCCTGTGTTTGAAATTCTAGAAAAGACTAATATAATCAATAGTGGGGGGAAAAAAAAAACAGACAAGTAATAAGTAACTGCCTCAGGCCAGAATGGGGGAGGGAGAGAAATCGCTGGTAAAAGTCATAAAGGTACCTCTTGAGATAAGTGTTCTGTATCTTGATTAAGGAGG